CATGAGGATGCATGCCCTAGGCCGGCATGGGCAAGATCTGCTAGATAGTTGCTTTGCTATAATTAATTGGACTAGCTGTGCGATTAGGCTCAGCAAGAGTATGTTTGAAATTGACAGAGGTAGTATCAACAAGGATCTGCTCATAGATGTATCTGTACTGATCAAAGTGGGGTAATGAATGTTGAGTAGTCAAATACCTCCTTTTAATTTCCCATGGATCCTTCATCCATTGAATATCGAAATTTTCAATGTAGAGGACAGTTTCCTCAATGATAAAATTCTGGACATATGGTACTGGAGTGAGGAGGACATCTTTAGCCGAACGGCTTGATTCCCCTTTTTTTGACTGGAAGTGGCATATAGCCCTAGAAATTCTGTAGTGTAGGGGTTGCCCCTACCGCGACCCCGTCTGCCGGAGCATCGGCTCGTATTCTGCGTTAGGGACCTACAAATATTCGCGGGTTAGAAAGTCTAGAAGAAAATTAGTTTCGCCTCTGATATATTCAATATCAAAATCAAAAACTAAAAGTTGGCCCTGCCAAGTGGCAAAAATTTGTTTTTCGGGTAGATTTTTAACATCTTTTTTAAAAATCTGTTTTGCTGCAGAACAATCAACTCTGATTAAAAAATGTTGATTTAATAAATCATCCTGGAATTCTAAGACACATTTAACAATAGCTAAACACTCTTGTTTAATTGTCGAATAATTTTTAGCAGCTTGATGCCAAATACCAGAAGTAAATCTTAAAAGTTCTTCTTTGTCACTGTTGGGATTAAATTGTTTAATTATGCCACCATAACCGAAGTTAGAAGTATCAGTTTCTACAATTTTTTTCCATTCGGGATTTGGTAAAAAAAGACAAGGTAGAGGTTTAACTCCAGCCTTAATCTTTTGAACAGCATCTGTATGTTCTGGTCCCTAAAGAGGAGGATTTTTCCGAACTCTGGAATATAAAATAGATGCATCTGTAGCAAGGTTAGGATAGTAATCATGAATATAATTTAAACTTCCTAAAAATCTCTCCAATTGAGTTTTGTCTTTAATTTCATCTGGAAATTTAGATGCAAATTCCATGCTTCTATTTATGGGAATAATAGTACCATTGTGAATATTATGACCCAAAAATCTGATTGTAGTCTGAAAAAGTTGCATTTTTGATGCAGAAACAACTAAACCATTTTTAATAATGACATGCTTAAAAATGTTAAGATGTTCCATGTGCTGGTCAATTGATGAGGAAAAGATTAAAACATCATCAATATAACAAATGGAAAATTCTGTATAAGGATTAGAAATATCATTCATTATATGCTGGAATTCAGATGGAGCATTTTTTAAACCAAATGGCATAACATTCCATTCAAAATGCCCAAAAGGTACTGTAAAAGCAGTTTTGTATCTGTCTGGTTCAGCGATTTGGACTTGCCAATATCCTGATTTCATGTCAAATTTAGAAAATATGACTTCATCCTGAAGACGATCTAAAAGATCTTTTTTGTTGGGAACTGGATACCTTATCCATTGTAAGGCTTCATTAAGAGGTTTATAGTTAATTGCCAATCTTGGCACACCTCTTTCAATTTCTGCATTTTTATTAACATATAAGGCTGTACAACTCCAAGGAGATCGACTGGATCGAATAAGCTTTTTCTGGAGGAGAGTGTTAATTTCTGATTTACAGAGTTCTAAATACTCTTTTTTCATTTGACTTGGTCGAGCGCGAGTAGGGATTTTCCGCTCATCATAACCTGGTTCATAAGGAAGAGAAACTATGTGTTTCTTCCTATTCCAAAAAGCATTTGGAATATCACTGCGGATTTCATGTTGAAATTCTTGTTCAAGTGATTTGATTTTTTGCTGGAAAGAAGACTGTTGAAGTCGTTGTTCCGTAGTTAAAAAGCTAATTTCCTTCTGGAGGAAATTAATTTGTTTTTCTTTGAAATTAAGTAGATCATTAATCTGATCTAATTCTTTTGTATAAGGTTCTGTAATGAATTCAAAAATAATCGGTTAATTATTTAAGGTTGTGTGTATGCCAATAGAATCAATTTTAGAAATTGGCATACGCAAACACAAAAATGGTGTTCCTAGGATTATAGCTTGAGACATATTTTTAATAAGAACAAAAGAAGTCGGAAGACATAATCCTTAATTACAAATTAATACTTCTGGAAGTTTATACTTGATATATAAAGAATTACCACTTGCACTTGTAAGTGATTGGATTGTTTTATGAAAGTATTTAGTAGGAATTAATCCTTCCTGAATACAATTCATATCAGCACCGCTATCGACAAGGGCAATGGCATCTTTTATAATAAAATCGGGTTTTATCATAAAAGTAATTCTGATATACCATTTCTGAAAAGTAACTGTACTCATGAGCATGAGGTAATTAGGCTCTTTAGTTTCTGATACTGGAATAGATTCAGAAGTAGATTCATTAGTTATGATTCCCTTTTCCTTATTCTGGATCTTACTATTAATCTTTTTAATTTCAGAATTAATAGTAATATTAGAAGTTTGCAAATGTTTGATTTCAACTTTTAAAGTATTGACTTCCATTTTTAAGTCCTGGATAGTTAAAGGCTTTGCTTCAGTAAGAGGTTGAAGTCGTTGAAAGACTTCCTTCACACTGTAATGTTGAGGGGGAACAATTTCCTCCTTTTTGTGATGCTGCAAACATAATTCCAAGAATTTTAATTTCATTTCTGGATTAGAAATCTGATCAGCAAAAGTAATCATATTTTGTCCTTCTTCTGTAAGGACATTGATACTGGGTCCTCCAATATCAAGTCCATTCATTTCAACTATAGCTTTCCAATAGTTGACTTCATCAGATATCTGATTTATGTGAGTTTTACATTCACAAATTTCTGAAGAGTTATCAGACTCATTCCCACTGTCTAAGGAGTATAAAGCTGCAATTTCATCTTCTTCATTAAAAAAAGTGTCTGATTCATCAGAAAGTATTCTAAGAATCTGTTGCTGAATATCATTATCTATTGATAGGTCATTAAAAAAGGAATTAACACATTCATGACAGAATCAAAGAAAAATGGTTATAGCTAGATGCAAAAACTATTTTCATACTGATTTGAAACGTTATTGCATTTTGAACAGATCATTTGGGAAATAAGGGAGAGAAAAAAAGGAATTAACACATTAAGGACAGAATCAAAGAAAAATTGTTAGAGCTAGATGCAAAAACTATGGGGCACACAACGTTATGTGGGTGTTTGGGAAGTGGGTTTTTATGTAGGTTTTTTTAGTTGTAGGATATTATTGGATAAATTTTTTTTGGTGTTTGGGAAGATAGTTGGGTTTTTTTGTGGTTGGATGTGATGTTTATGAGAGAAAAAGTGAAATGATTATGGGGTTGGATGTGATATTTTGTTTGGATTTGTTTTTTTTTTTTTGGTTTTGCAAAATTTTTATCATTTAGTGAAAAAAATAAAAAAAAACCCAAACCTAAAACTTGCCAAACACCACCTATAAAACAACAAATTCACCTCAAGTCTAAGTGTGACGGGTTATAACATTTGAGGCACAGCCACGAAGTGAACTGTCACTCCTCGAGGTTTGCCTCATGCCCAGTTATGATCTGAACAACTACACCAGCTTCCAGTAAGCAGTTAAAATTCTTTTCCCTCATAGTTTTGTTGATTTATTATAACTAACATGCTATTTATAACTATGCAGCACATTCAAAGTTTTTAAAGCCCATTCAACTGTTATTTGACACCAGGAATTTCCAGATAAACTTTAATCAGTGATGCAGAAAATAATTCCTTACAAAGTCAAGGGACAACAAAGCCACATATGCCTGAAAGAAAAAAGAAATGACATTATCATGATGGATATGCCGGAATCATAAAATAATTATGGTAAGAATCTACCACCTGCATGCTCAACCAGAGTAGAAACAAGAATGGGTAGATCCTAGACACTTGCAAGTCAACAGAATGTCAGAATCTATAACGGTGCATTTCACTGGTTAATATCAAAACCTCAGTGTAATTGCAAGCTACCTGAGATTGGAGATGACCCCCAAATATATGTTGAATAAGGGTTGTTTCTTGAGTGCTAGGATGAAGGGCCTTCGCTCCCCGAAATTCATCTAGGCACACTGATTGCATAGCATCGATAGCAAACCTGCCAAATGAATGAACTTAAGGATCCATTTGTTTTGACGTAAAATGTTTTTGTCTAAAAAATTTAACTCATTTTCCGTTGTGCAGCTGAACCAAAAACAAGTAAAATATTTTTGAAGGAAAATATTTTTGCATCATTTTCTCAAAAATGACTTACCTTTAAAAATTTTGCAAGTCAAGTTTTACAAAGTTAACTCTCACTCACTACCTTTTCGACATGTTTAGCCTATTCAAATAAATATCTTAGCTCACTAAAAAATCATAAATGACACTTTATTGGATCAAAATTTCTCTTTTAGGCACTAAAATGTTTTTGTTTCAAGTGTCAACCAAACGCCGAAAACCAAAAAGAAAAATATTTTTTCTATGTAAAATAAATTTACAAGAAAAATATTTTTTTGTGAAAATATTTTAGGTTGAAACAAATGGAGACTAAATCAAAATGAAACGTGTAAAATTTGTTATTGAAATCAGTAAAACTTTATCATATTAAACCAACACTGGCCATCAAATACACGAGGGTTCATGATAAAGTTTTCTTCATAGATAGAGACAAACTACGTTAAACTAGGAGTAAAGGAAGTAATAGGACCTCATGAACTCATGCGCATCCTCTTGTTTTCCATAGCCAAGGTCACCACCAATATTAGGTAACCGCGAGAGAATATTAATTGGTGAAAAGGGATGCCAACTTTCACTGGATCTTTCGACATGGGCTTGAAATTCACAAAGGAAGCACCAATCATTCCGTCTGTCTGAGCAACAAGAAACAACAAACAAAAGAGTGAGAAATTGTTTGATCATCCATAAAATATAGGCCACAAAATGTTCTGGTCTGCATTTACATTCTTTCCGATGGCCTTTCTCCAACAAATAGGCAACAAGGGGCCGAGTGTACACAAGACATTGTAGAACCACATTAGCAAAGCAGCTGCACAAATACAATTACAATATAGCACATTGTGAGTTAAAACTTGATACTTAAGCATGTGCACTTTATGCAATTGAAGCTCTCAACCCAGTGAAACCATCTGAACAATAAGTTTAGAACAAATAATGGAATGGTAAACACAAACCTGTTTCCACAATGAAGAAGCCCACATGGAGGAAATCCTCGCTTGTCCCAATTAAATAGTTCCGCAAAATCCTCATAGGGGAAAAGAATCTGAAATGTTACTGCACATTACAGGTGTCCTTCCCAACCAAAAGGCATACTAAAATATATGAATATAAAGATCAATAAAAAGGAAATTACTTACCTCTTTTGACTGTTTGGTAATATTAACGGTTCCACTAGAAGGAACCAGTGCAACTGCACTAGAATCTCTCCGTCCATGCTGCATATATGTAGACTGCATTGATTTTACCTGTCCAAATAATTGAAAATCCTTGCATTTTGTCTTATGCCCAGATTTCCAATGGGAAGTTTGGCAAGCTCCGAAGCTGGGATAAAGGAAGAAAGATTTAAAACATTAAAAACTCGTATGAAATATATAAAGGCAAACCTAGCAACAAGTCACGTGCAAGAAAGCAAGAAGACAAGATCAAACTCTTATGACAAAGAAGTGGGAATTAAGATGAAGCAGCAATATATAAAACCATAGGTTAATTACAAAAGATCCTGAGGTTAATACCAAGAACAGAAAATAATACAGGAAACTTAAAGAGGAATAAATAAAAATAGAAAGTTCTGCCAAATAAGCTTATAGCAATAACCTCCTGAACAAAAAAACAAAAGCAAGACACACACTGAAATTTCTTCCGTGGGAGTCCCTTCTCAGGGTGTGTTAACGAAGGAACAAGAAAAGGTCCACATAAAAAAGAAATGTCTGCCCAGAAGGATCAAAATGATTAAGGTCCTTATTCAGACTAGTTGGAGATGATTGTTGACCAACCTAAAACTTCTAACTAGTAGCATTTTTTTCTTCTTTTTTTGATAAGTTCATCTAATCCAATATCAAATCCATACTATTACCTCAATAGTAAACAGTTATCGAGAATGGTTTTGTCTTCACTGTTCATCAAATTTTATAAAGCAAAATTTAATGTTTGAGGAAGAAAGGCAATTTAAACCTTTGGCAAAATATCACCGACAGTTGTACAAATAACATCAGTTATTTAAAGCCAGTAGTTTCCTTTTAAGGACATCCTGCCCCATGAAAACGCTTGTCTCTTCAATTTGAAAGAAGCCAATTGGATTGGGACACAATGATAAATCTAGGTTTTCAAATTAACCAGCTGAGCTGCTCAATAAGTAGCCAATCTGTCTCTTGAAGGTGAGGGTAGAGCTTATCAACAGCTATGGCATGCTTTTAGGACATTAACTGAAACATAAACTTTAAACTTATTGACAAGTATAGCTAGTATTGTACTGCCTACATCATCACTTCTATTCAATATATACTTTGAAAATGAATTTATTTCTTTTTTCTCAAGTAACTCACACAGTGTATCTAGAAAATGTTTTGCACCAAATTACCATAGCACAGAATCTATAACCGTGGTTGGCAATCAAATTAAACAAATCAAAAAATAATCGTCGCCAACACATAAAATTCCCATCAAACTATAACTTACAGCTATGTACTTTAACACTTCTCTCATATCTTTGCCTTCTTTATAAAGGATGCATCCTCCTTTCTATCTCCATTTTGTTCAATTTACCTCTTTTTAGAACAGAAAAGAGAAATAAACATAAAAAAGAAACATACTTTGATACAGCACGGAGTAGTAATAGATCGTGATGCTCTTTCCAAAACCTTCTACTCTTCAATCCTGGGAAACGAGATACTATGCCATCTGGAAAAGAGGGAGTGACTGGCTTTTCCGATGCAGCCTTCACCTAGCATTGTACAAAAAGGTTTATAGTCAAAATTTTAAATAAAATTACCACGACAGTTTTAAGATTCAATATATGATATTTCTAGATCTTCATTGAAGCAACATTTACATTTAAGGACTACTTGATAGATGTTGAGGAGGGCATACCATGATACTACCAATGGAAAGGTTTATAATTTTTTAGACTTCTGTGGAATGAATTAGCATTTCAAAATTAAGGTTCTACGCATTTTTCAATCCATGCCAATGTGCATACATGGATTGCTTCAACTAAGAGTTCAGCTTATTGTAATTCTTTTTCAAATTGAATTTTTTAAATGAAAAACACCAATGCTTAAGACTCATGTCACGCATCCTAGACCTATATGTTAGGAAGTTAAAAATGGAAAAACCAGGCTTTCACCATTTAAACACTATTTGAAATAAGGAGGGATAGGAGAACAACAATCCACACAAATCATAGCTTTAAGATGATTCCCAAGTTGACCACCCTTTTAAAAATCCAAAGCTACAAAAGCACTAACCAACCAAGTGGAACTCTTTCATCAAGTATACAAAACTTACTTTGTCCCTTATCAGAAGTGACACTGCAATCCTACCAAGTACATCTTCTATCCTTAGTCCTTTGAGAACACCATCTGCAGCAAAATAATGAGTGAAAACAAAAAATTAATAGCAGACAAAAAAAAAAAAAAAGAGGAGAAGGAGAGAGAGAGAGAGAGAGAGAGAGAGAAATTAAGGTCATAAAAGATGTAGAAAGAGCAGCAGAAAAACTATTTATAAGGGACAAACTGATCAGTGGGTGCACTTACTGATCACTTGTGGTAACTGATTACTAGTTTGAGAATCAATATCCATGGAGCATGGGCTTGGTATATCGAGAACCTTGGCTTCAGTCTCCGGCTCTTCAATATGAGTCTCATTTGCTTTTGTGTCACCCTACAATAACATCAAATAATAAAGAGAAACCATATGAGTTAAGTATTGCTTCATTGCAGTTAACTAAGAATGCAATTTATGCAGTCTATTTCGCTAGCAACTCTTTCATATAGAACCATATTTAGAGTTCGTAGCGATTAACTCACATAGGAAGATGAAATAAACAAACCGTCAAACAAGAATTAGGATGGTATGCTTTTGATTTTTGATTAACAAAATAATCAAAAAGAAATAAACCTAAACAGAAGATAAATTGCTTCATTTTTCTTTGGCTGGTCAAAAAGTATTTTGGAAATTCCAACCAAACCGTGCCAAAATATTTTTTTCAACATTAACATACCAACGAGAAGAATATGCAGGAAGTAAAACTTGTGAATGAACTTACAAAAACTTCTTTTTGGTATTCTTTGTTTAGTAATTTCTCCAGAAAAGAACCTTTTTCTTGATAAATTCAACCTGTCTTCTCTGCATCTCTCTATAATGATGTAATGGCGAAGAATCTTGAAATAACTGTGATCGGTTTGCAGCGTCAGGTGCTCTGTTTGTAGCATCAACTGCTAAATCGTTCCCCACAACAATTCCCTTTGTCTCATTCATAGGAGTTTCAGCACTAACCACATTTGCACCATCTTGTGATTGAGATGCCCCTGGTACAGGGAGAGTTACAACCGGAAGATTCAGCTCCTGACAAATGACCTCTTGAACCTTCAGGTCCTTTTCATCAACAATAGCTTGCCACCTTCCATAGCCATGCCTTCACATCCAACCATATTAGTTATGAACATAGATTGTTAATATCTATCATATATAAACTGTGAGCACTTATCTTACGACTAATCCTATCAAAGTTTGGGCTTGTTTGGTGCAGCTTATGGAGTTTCTTATAGATTTTTAATTTCGGAAACTTGTGCCAGAATGTTTGGGGTTTGGCACTCACATAAAACATTGGGGGTGTGACATGCTATGGAAATGCGACTTGCCCTATAGTTCTGGAAAAATAGTGCACATGACACAAACATTTACTCATAAACACACAAGTACTTCCATAGATGCATAAATTCACATATAAAAAATGTATTTCTTGTCACGTCTTTGTATTTAGTCAAAATCCACTTTTGAAATTATTCAAGTACACAAGGCTTGAGCCTATCCAATGACCATTTTATTTCCAATATCAAAAAGCAACCAAAAAATGCTTGTCAGAGAAACATACATAAAATCAGAAGCTCATGGTTAACAATAAACATTAGTAAAAATAAACATATGAATGATAAGCAATACAATCATTTGCCATAGAATGTTATCAGCAAGAGTCCATCATATCAAAGACGTGGAAGTCAACATCCAAAAATGAAATTAAAATTCTTGGAATTATGTTTACAGCATCACAAAAAGGAGGAAATTCTTCCCCCTCAACATTACAATATGAAGGAAGTCTTTCAACGACTTCAACCTCTTACTGAAGAAAAGCCTTTAACTATCCAGGACTTAAAAATGGAAGTCAATGCTTTAAAAGTTGAAATCAAATATTTGCAAACTTCTAATATTACTATTAATTCTGAAATTAAAAAGATTAATAGTAAGATCCAGAATAAGGAAAAGGGAATCATAATTAATGAATCTACTTCTGAATCTATTCCAGTATCAGAAACTAAAGAGCCTGATTACCTCATGCTCATGAGTATAGTTACTTTTTAGAAATGGTATATCAGAATTACTTTTATGATAAAGCCAGATTTTATTATAAAAGATGCCATTGCCCTTGTCGATAGTGGTGCTGATATGAATTGTATTCAGGAAGGATTAATTCCTACTAAATACTTTCATAAAACAACCCAATCTCTTACAAGTGCAAGTGGTAATTCTTTATATATCCAGTATAAACTTCCAGAAGTATTAATTTGTAATTAAGGATTATGTCTTCCGACTTCTTTTGTTCTTATTAAAAATATGTCTCAAGCTATAATCGTAGGAACACCTTTTCTGTGTTTGCTTATGCCAATTTCCAAAATTGATTCTATTGGCATACACACAACCTTAAATAATCAACCGATTATTTTTGAGTTCATTACAAAACCTTATACAGAAGAATTAGATCAGATTAAGGATCTAGTTAATTTCAAAGAAAAACAAATTAATTTCCTCCAGAAGGAAATTAGCTTTTTAACTACGGAACAACGACTTCAACAGTCTTCTTTCCAGCAAAAAATCAAATCACTTGAACAAGAATTTCAACATAAAATCTGCAGTGATATTCCAAATGCTTTTTGGAATAGGAAGAAATTAATACTCTCCTCGAGAAAAAAGCTTATTTGATCCAGTCGATCTCCTTGGAGTTGTACAGCCTTTTATGTTAATAAAAATGCAAAAATTGAAAGAGGTG